GGATGTCTTACTCGCAGGGAAACAGGGTAATATACATGCTATGTTGTGTATGCACTGTTACTGTATACACAGCATTACCACATATGTATGGGAAGTGCTAATGCAACACATACAGTAACACAGTGCGTACACAATGCAGCGTGTATATTATGAGCCCTAACACAGGCTTCTCTAGGCAAGCATAGTCAGCACTGGGTCCAATTAGGGGTTAATAAGAAAATAAAAAATAAAATATAGCAGACCAAGTACGGTAAATAAACGTTCTGTATATCCAAGACCAGAGATATACCGGTACTTGTATTCAGCAATGCTTGGGCGGATCAAGCAGGTGTGACCAAGCACAGGTAAGACTATAAAGGCTACGTCATTGGTCACAGCCCTGGAGAAGGGCGGGAGAAGAAGAGAGGCTGCATAGACAGTCATCTGACAAGGATGCGGTGCGCCCAGGGTACTAGCACACAGAAGCAGGCAGGTTCTTGCCTAGTACGGCATGGACAACGCAGAGGCTGCCTGCAGGCAGGAGAGAAGAGCGGTGATATCGGCCGTCATCGGACCACCAATAGAGGCTGCAGGCGCCCGCAGATGAGCGGGAGAGACCAGAGAACCTCCTCACTGCACAGACAATAGATAAGTGGGACCCTCACTGGAGTATAAGCCGAGGGGGGCTTTTTCAGCATAAAAAATGTGCTGAAAAACCCGGCTTATACATGCGTGTATACGGTATGAAAAATATATGTTGATGAACATGAGTTTGTGCTCTGCAAGTCTTTTGAGAACTTCATTTCCCCCCCTCACATTCTTCCCGTTAGGGAACTGTTTACCCTTCTTTAAAAAATTAAATGGTTCAAATAGCTATGGATTCTAATTTCAAAATCTCGTTTTAGAAGAGGCCCTAAGATTTACCCTTTCATCCATATCTTGAAGATGATAGTGACGGATGTATAGTTTGCTTTGGAAAAATGTATTCTCTATGATTTTATGTTCTCACCACAAATTGTTATTGCTAGCCTTAGTTATTATGGCTTCCTGTGGTGGATTAAAACAGGCACTTCTACTTTGGGCAATAGTTTAAATATTTTCATTAGCATAGCACATTACTTAGGAAAAAGGCAGATGGCCATCTATCTTGTTGCATTGTGATAAACGAGGCATAGTTTTAAACTTGGGGTGTGTGGTGAAACATTATTTGAACTGGTATCACAAATAGTTTGTACCTCCTTTCCCTTTTTGGTCTTTATTGGTATTAACTGTTTACATTTTCTTCTGTTAAAGGGTATTTTCTTATCTGGCACTTCTTGCTGGAATGCGTACATTCATGGAGTGATATAATCTAAGTATGATTATCTAGAGCAGAAGTCAATAAACTATGGTCCTAGTAGTCAAATCTGTCTATTTTCATAAGGATGCTTTATAATGGAACACAGCCACTCATTTTTTAAAACACATTTCTCATGCTTACTCTCTTTCCCTCTAAGAAAATGTCTGCCCATCCTGACTTAGAGAAAGTTGATTATACCTCTAATTCCTTGACACTCTTTGACTTAAATTGTTTTTAAAGTGTTCCATGTATACATGACTTCCCATACCTACCATGTAATCAAGAATTAACCCTGATTATCGAGCAACCTGCGAAGGGTGGACACTGCGTAAGGAAGTCCGAAGAAGACTTGATGCATGTGCGTTGTGGTGCTGGAGAAGAGTGAAAGCACCACCGACTGCTAACAGGACAAACAAATCTGTTTTGAAAGAAGTACAGTCAGCGTGCCCCTTAGAGGCAAGGAGGGAGAGACGTGTCTCATGTACTTGGGACATCTTGTCAGGAGAGACCAGCCCCTGAAGAAGGACACCATGCTTGGGAAAGTGGAGGGGCAGCAAAAGAGAGGAAGACCCTCAACAAGATGGATTGACACAGTGGCTGCAACAATGGGCTCAAGCATAGGAACAATTGTGAGAACTGTGCTGGAAGTGTTTTTTCTCATTGTGCAGAGGGTCACCGTGGGTCGGAATCGCCTTGATAGCATCTAAAAACAACAAGGTAGTAAACATACAAGACAGGAAGGGTGAAATCCTTAACCATGACTCCAAGATGCTTAATAGTAAAAAGTATTCACAGCCTCTGAAACAATAGCTAAGAACTGTAAGCTAGCACAGGCTTTATTTGGAAGTGATTTGCTGTTGATACTTTTGTTAATCTGGGTACTTTAGAGAAACAAATCCACAGAAACTCATGTATAAGACAGAGTTTTATTTAAAGGCTAAGTGTGCATCAAGAAAACATCCCAACTCAACATTAACTCATATGTCCAAAACCAATCCACAAAGTACTCCTCCATCTCACAAAACACACTGTGATGCCGACTGCCCAATCAGTGAACCTGTCATCATCTCAGCGCTGGCAGGGGTCTCCACACGGCTGCTCCAGCACCCAGGGTTGCATCAGGGTAGGTCCATGTGGCTTCTCCTCAGGGATGTCTTGCAGGAATTGACCCTTGCCAGCTGAAGCAGGCTAAGGCAGCTGCACCCTGATCCGACCATCACAAAGCAAGAGACCCGAGAGCTAGAAAGGCGAGGCTCACCGAGCCTTATCCCTCCGCTCTTCAATTAACCTTACATGTGTTTATCGGCCAGGTTGGCACAATAAACTAACTACTGCAATACTCATTAGGGTCTTGAACTTTAGTAGGACAGAGTCACAGTATAATATTGGACAAATGGTGCTTATTTGGTTGAGTGCAAGTAACTCCCATGTTCCAATTACTCATATACTTTATGAAAAAAGTTCTATCTAAAATTCCAACTTCAATTTGCCAAATAGGCCTGTGGCCAGAGTTGCACACCTCAAATCTCATTAACTCATTAATGACTTGATGTTGGCAGTGGTGTCCCTTGAATGATGACTGGAGTGTCTCCTTGGTTTTTGGGTTCTCCCAAGTAATACAAGCTCAATCACATGGAAAATTAATTCAGTAAACAGTTATTGAGGGCCTACTAAGTGCAAAACAATATCCTAGGTTTGATGAGGGTTACAGGAGTTAGGCTTTCTGCCTTTTGGAAATTTAGAAGATCCCATATCTGGCTGACTGTTGATTGAAGTCTTCTGTAACTTTTGGAGAAGTGACTGGGAGTTGAAAAAGCTTCCATGACTTCCCAAGTGATTTGCTTTTATGTCCAATTTATATTCTATACTACTTATGCCATTGTTTTATCAGCATCATGAAACACTAGACTTGAAAAAGTCTGGTTTTGAGATAGGGAAGAGTGAATTTGCAATTCCTTATAAAGGTACATGCACCAGATGACAAACTTTGAGGCCTAGGAGATTAGAAAAAACCAAAACAACCAAACCACATACACTGTGGAGTGGATTTTGACTCAGTGATTCCCGTGTAGGGTTTCTGAGACCATAACCCTTTATAAGGTCAGGCAGTCTCATCTCTCTCTCAGGGAGAAAGATAGCTGATAGATTCAAACTACCAACCTTGAGGTTAGTAGTACAATGCCTCACACATAAGGCTCCCAGAATGGGCTCATCTAAAACCTAATCTGTTTCAGCCTAGGAAGTGCTGGTAACCCCCACGGCCATCACAATGCGGACTCATAGTGATCCTATAGAAGTGTCTGTACCTTTCCAAGATTGTAACTCTTTACAGTAGAAAGCCTCATCTTCCTCTGATGATTTGAAACTGCCGGCCTCGTACATCACAGCCCAAAGCATAATGGCTATGCCACCAGGGTTCTGGCTCCTCCTTCTGTCTCTCAGGCGACCCAGTCTCCTCCTCCTATGCCTCCTCACAGCGACGTTTATTGGTGTCGATTTTCACCGGTTGGAAAAGAGAGATAACAACAACTATGTGGACTTGCCAGTTTTAGTCATTCTGGTTCCAGGAATCAAGGACGAGAAGCCTTTAAGATATCTGCACACCCTAGCTTTTACTGGATCAATTATTTATCTGTCAGCTAATTACAGTGTTGGAACGTTTACATCATTCATCTTTTTATGGCACTTCTTAATGGAAGACTCTGGAGGTTAAAACTCTTGATGAGTTTCCATGATACAAAAAAAGACGGCTGACCTAGAGAAAGATGGGACAGACGCGGAACATTTGAGACGTGTTAAGCAGCGATGGGACTGTACACAGTAGCCTACTTAAAGCAGAGCTGCTGCGAAGATTCAAGTCCCTGAAGAATGATGAGAAATGTGACCGTATGGACATAAGCAATGACATTTTCCTGAAAAACAGAGATCATTTTGCACGAGCCTTAAACGCGAAGTATTATTATCCCCCCACTTTACAGATGAACAAACAGCAACACTGAGGACTAAGTTCAAAACCGGACACCTGGTTAAGCAGTGGAGCCAGAAATGAAAAACCTGGTCATCTGGCTACAGAGATGCTGGCTCTTCACCACTAGTCTGTTGCCCAATCCAGACCTC